TGACATTTTGTGTTTATGTAATACTATAGTTACTTGGATTAAAGACAACGTTCCTATTGGCGAGGATTCGAGTATTTACCAATTTATGCAAGTCGACAATAAATACCGAATGAAAATACTCAGAGCCGGCCATGACGATATTGGTCAGTACGTGGTCGAAGCAAAAGATTCCAGTGGCGAACAAGTTGCAGCCGCGTTTTCAGTCAATTTGTCATTCTTTTCTGAATAAAGTGAGTGTGTCGAGAGTCAAGATATTATTGACCAAACCGAATATTCAAATAAATCATTTTCCATTTACGTTTTCTAAAAGTTTTGAAACCGGGACTATGCCTTTTATTTTTTGTTAGTTAGACCTAATATAATAATGTTATAAAATTATCAAGTTTATTGTTCAAACAAAAATATAATAAAATATGTTTAAAATATATTTACGTTCTCCATATTTCCACTTTTTATATTTTAGTATTTATTTTTCTTATCAAGCTAAAAAAATAATAATAATAAAAGGGTATRTTATAGATATTTTAGGTTTTAGTTTGGAGTTTTTATTTTTAATGAATTCTATTGACGACGTTTATAGCTCTTAATTTACCTAAGTATAACTTTAATCTACCAATATGTAAATTAAAATAATATTTCATTCGATTATGATTTGAACTTTTGGTTTACATTTGGAGCACGAAATAATATGAAAATATGTTGAATTCRTSTTAATTACAACCAATTAATTTTCAGATTTCACATATTAATCTACGATCAAGATAATGAAAATACAGACCGTTGTAAAATACTGTGCAACAAAAAATAAAATAAAAATATCGAAAATGTATCATTTTATTGAAGTTGTATATTTCCATTTTTATGTACAGCAAATATTATTTTACAATTTTTTTTTTTTATCAAATTATATTAAAACCATTATTAACATTCACAATATACCTAATGCATACAACTGCAGACGTGCAATTTACGCATATAGGTTTTATTAATTTATTAGTTTAATAATTTATGATGTTATCATTTCGTGTCCCAAATGCTAGTTATGTAATTTTTGTTCGCATTAAAAAAAAAATACCAGTTGTTTTTATATAAGTCCCTAATAATTTGTAAATCGTATATTATCGTTTGTTAAAATATGTAATTTATTTTTTGCGTGGACGTATGAAATAAATTCAAAAAAAAATGTAATCCCGGATCACACAACAATTGGATAACAATGAATTTAAGTCATACGAATGTACTGTTGTTTACTGTTTGTTTAGAAGATGTTTTTTTTCCGAATGCTAAATTGGCAACTCTACGCTTTCACATAAAATTATTATTATATTATTATCGTTTAAGTATATGTTGTTTATTGTGATCCCATAGATTTGAGCTTTGATAGACACTCATATTATCAGCAATTAACTACCTATTAAATATTACGATGTAATAACATATAAGTGTTTTATTTTAATGTTTAATAATTTATTGTGTTATATTTATTTTAGGTTATAATATTGTTTTAATTAAAAATAACATGTTGATCAATATCAATCAGAATGTTGTAGATTCTTTTCACCAAATCATATTATCATAAAGTATGGAACGGGGACCCATAAAAAATGTGTATTTTATGTGAATTATTTTTGTCAGWTATGGCGAGTATTATTGATTACTATAATTTGTCGTCAACAAGTTGTCGATTATCAGATCATCCAAAAACTCCAGTTTTAAAATATATACATATTAAATACCTAATGTATATATTTTTATCTTGGCAACTATCTTACTTATCATATTCATATTCGTACCTATATTATTATGTTAAATATATTCTGAAATAAAATATTCACTAACACTAAGTTAGATGTAAAAATGTGAAACGAAAATTCAAATGATATTGTTTAAATGTTTTAGAAATAAAGCAGATTATCCGAGAATATCAACTAATACTATAATATAAAACTAATATTAATACTATTATAAAATAGATGCTAAACTCATTAAACCGATTATAATAATAGATTTGAATTCTTTATGATTCAAATGTACTAGGTACCTATGGAATGGTAGTAAGGAAGATTATAAATTAAACTTTATTCGTGTTACTTAGACCGTGATGATGATATCACTCGAAAAACAAATTTCAATCTTTGCAGGAGACCTTTAATTGTACACCGTAAGACGTAACTCATATCATTTTTTCTATTATGTCACCACCGACACCACCACGAGACGACTAAACCGTTTCACACTGCTTATCCCTCATGCAGTCATGCAGCATTGTTTATTTAACCAAAATCAAAAATTTACAACGTTGATCGCCTCAATGAAAGATTGAACCTTTTTTCACGAGCACAAGCTAGTTATGAAGGTTCAGTCAGTTAAGAACTTACCACGATAGACATAGGGACGAATATAAGTTTCTATATGAGACCTGGCAGCCAAAAGGTAAAAAATTAAACATGGATCCTACATGCAAAAAAATAATATATTATTTAAGTCCCTACTCTAATCGTTTATCTATATTATTATTTGAATATGATAGTATATGTATAGGTGTGTTTATTCATAATTTTTATAATAAACRATAAATAATAAATAAACTTATATATACCCATATTATTAAATTGCATATTTAAATTATTTTTTAGAATATTATAATTTTTTATAAATATTATATTAAATGTAATCAACCTGATGATGATGCGTAATAAAGTAGRAATAGCATAATAAATTTCATAAATCAAGAATTGTAAAAAAATATACAATGTTTTAAAAAGATAATAAAAACATCATAATTATTATTATTGTTAGTAGTATTACAATTACTATAAAAATGTATTATAACACGTACCTACTCTGCAGTCCACACTATGTACAATTGGTTTAGGATAGCATAAGTAATTTTTTCTGAGTAGAAAATTACTCAAACCATTTCTTCCATCTTATATGAACATACATCCGTCATGCGTTCCTTTTTTTACCACATAGAAACTTACATAACTCATTTTTATATTTTTATAGGAATTTACACAGCTCATGTGTAAGTATTAACGTATGCAATTTTTACCTGTTATATTCTCGTATAAGAACTTACTATTTCCAGGGCCTAGGCATAGTCAGTGGCGCCACTAGGGTGATATCCCTTTATTGATTTAGGTATAAAACCCCTTATTTTAAATTAATATTTTTGTTAGATAGGATGTAGTTGCACCTATGRTCTAAAGTAAAATTAGTGTTATCCGGAGTAGATTGTTTACGAATCAGGCACCGATTAACTCTCATCTTATATGTTTGTGCAGGAAGGCCCATTCTGAATCATCAGTTTCTCAAGCTAACCATATAAAGCGTAAATAAACGTATGCGTACCTACTGAATAGAAGGTYCAATAGTGGTRATCAAGAAAATTAATTATTACGATACCKTTGGTGTGATCAATCACCTTCTTCAAATGTAGGGGAATCAATGGTTGGTAGATATAAATTAGATAATATCCGAATAATATTCGATTAAACCCCAACTGCAGGAGAATAGTGTTCCGTTCAATCGRTATTAGACATTCACTTAAATTCATCGTTGGACAAATATACATAAATTTTAATATTACTGTATGCAATTTYGGCTAAATTGTTGAACTACGAAAGGAATTTCTTAAGTACTCTCCAAGGGTATTAGCCATTGGTATATGAACTGTCAGTGCGAAATTCTAAATTAGAAATACCAKGATGATTTCGCCTTTACACATTACTCTTCAAGGATATAGGTATTAGGTATACCGYCCGTGAAAATCTTTAAATTATACATTACCCGAGTAATTTTGCTTTTACTAATAACCTTTAAAAATAATAATAATAATATCGGCCAGTCATACCAATAATATAATAAAATACTACAAACATTCAGAGGAATTTCTGCTAATTTGTTAAATTATAGAACAGTATATTGGTATAATAAAAGTAGTGATGATCAACCTATACTAAAATATTTATTATTTAGATACCTATGTTATTTCTAGTCTTCAAATTTGTCATAGTCTGGATTTACCTGCATACCTATGACAATTATAAATATCACAGCAAGGTCCAATACTCCAGTCAACTGTCTGATGGTAAAATATTTTTAAGCTGATTGATCGAGTCATTAGTTCATATATTAAACAAAAATGTACATAATAAAATTAATGTTATAAATAAATAAAAATAAAAAAAAAAATAGGACAAATAGATAATATTTTAAACAAAAAAAGTCATAGGTGTATTTTGACATGAGACATTTAAAAAAATGCAAAACAATACGTTTGAGGCACGTATTTCAATAAAATTATACAACGTTGTTTACGTAAAAATATAACTGTTATGACAAAAAAAAAAAACATATAAATAAATAAATAAACAAAATGTTAATAATTGCGGAGATTCACTAGTGCCRCCGATGATGATGRCGATGGTCATTGATGACGGTGTTTTTATTAACATACTGAAATATTTTGAAATAAGTGTCCTCGGATCATTTTGTGTAGGTTATATCGTTAAATTTTGAAAGTAGTAGTAAAAAGTCAATTTTTTTAAATGCATAAAACGGTGTATATATTATTTTAGGAGTCTTGCATTGTACAACAAAATTATTGTAGTCTCTCGCTTCATTATCTATATTATTCTACCACGTTCATGTAAACGCACTATGTACACACTAAACACACACTCTCACTTTCCACATTTGTCTATCTCTCTCTCCCCCCCCTCNATTAATTAAATTAATTAAATTAATTAAATTTTAAAAATGTGTAAATTATTTCATAATCATGACAACAATCTGTTTGAGGTACCTACCTATAAAGTTGTTATATAAAAAAAAATTATATACCTATAATTTTAAAAGAACAAAATTAACCGGTTTTATTATTTTGAAAAACGGTTTTAAAAAACTATAAAATATGAAACCAATATTAACCGGTTTTTAAAACCGAAAAGAATAGTAGACGAACTAAAACCATTACCCACTAAAAATCACCCAACATCACACCCCTCGCACTAATATACTTGGATTTCATAACGTATCTGCTTCAAATACGTCTCGTCCTCCATCCGCCGCTGGTTCAACCGTTCTACGCTGTATCGAAGTCCGTAGAATAGGTAAATCAATAAGCCGATGAACAGCCATACGGTGAATCGTATCCAGGTGGAAGTGTCCAGTTGCGTCATTAGGTAGATATTGAGGACGACACTTAGGCACGGCACGACTGGAACAAAAGGCACCTGAAATAAAGATAAAACGAGTTGGTGATTAAACGTTAACACAAGGGGGAGAAGGGGCTATAAATAATCCGACTGTATTTTAGTCGAAAAATATCTCATCTAAAAATAAATCAACTAAAAATGTTTAGGCTGGTACTATATGTATATATTATACATAATATTAAGTTATTATACTCTATTATAGCCAATAAATATTTTAACAGCAGACAAATATTTTAACAGATAATATTTTGTACGATAAATAGGTAAGTTAGACTTCTTTATGATCTCATTTACCCGGTTGTAAATCGTTATGTCAATTTTAATAAAATAAAGTAACATTAATCAATATATCCCGTATAGGCCATTCTGATTAACCCAAGCACATCTTATGCGAAGAGAAGAACTTACACTGTGCCAAACTTGCGGAGAAACTCTCACAGTCAAACACCTCATACACTGTCGAAGCCACATAGAAACCAGAAGTAACCTAGAGATTCCAGAAAACATTTTTGAAGCACTGAGTCCAATTCAAGACATCAGAAAAAAATTATTTTATTTCTTAAATGCATTCATATGTATAACGCAATCTAAGTAATTTAATGAACTCATTAATATGTAGGTAGTAATATTATATTATTGTTCAAGATAATAATCTTAGTTTTTGATGCTATACAAATAAAAAAAAGTAACATTAGCATACTATAAAATAATATAGGTAATTACCTCTACATATTTTTAGGTAAAACCTCAAAATTTAAATTATATCGTAAAATAAATAGTCAAATATTTTCATTAAAAGTTGAATAATTATATTATATTAATCGTTCCCTACTAAGGTAAGTACTCTTCTTATAACTTCACATTAAAATGATATCATAAGCTTTAGAAATTTAAGAAAATGTTTTTACTTAGTACCTACCTAAGTTTTGCATCACTACCTACTTAAGCAGTAGTATTTAAAGATTTAAAGGTTTTTTTTTTTATAATCGAAAAAAACATTGTCATCGTATTTTAACTATATAATTATGATTCATTTCTAAACCAATACCTTTTATGTAATTCTATTAAGTATTTTATATTTTCATTAAATATCTATGACTTACCTAATCGGTGATTCAAATAGTAACTTTTAATAAAATAAAATCAATTATTAACACACAAAATATTAGTGCCTTCAACTTCACAGAATTATTAAATTGAAAAAACAAAGTCGATATAAATTATTACAAAATATATAGTTCTAATACAAATTTACAACGATATATTGGGAATAATCCCGTACCTAGAACTTGTATTGGAGGAAAGCAGTGGGACGAAGCTCATCTTCAATTTTTTATATGTATATATTGATAACAACCCTTCTAATTATTTTTATTATAACGAGGAGACGGAACGTTTTATTATTCTGTAATAATAATATTATAATTGTATGAATTGTATTAAATAATGTATTTGTATATATTAATATATATTAAAATTTAATTTAATGATTTTTTTATGATAATTAGCTCGAGCTAAGATATAAGTATAATATCCTAATCAGTAGTCAAAGTATTTTATACATTTATCATTATCGCAATTTCTGATTAATTACCTAATTAAAAAGAAATGTTATGATATACTTTTATATAACTAATAATTGTTACGTTGCCTAATAAATGTCATGTAAAATMATATTTATTATAATTGGTTGTAAATGTTAACTACATTATTGGTATATTATATAATATATTTCAATTACCTATTGTTTAAAATAGATGACGATATAGGTTAAGTTTAATCATTGTAAAGAACGTTATTTTTTTTAAATCAGTCCTATCCTTTTATTTTTCCAATTCAAGCACTGTCGGTACCGTATGTTAATTGCTCAATTTGTTGTTATATTACTATAATAAGGCCATATCAAGTCTATATACCCTTTAAATTACCTAATTAGAGTAAAATTATGGTTGATGTTTTATTTTTATTTTATTCTATTTTTGTTCCTTATTTGTGTTTGTCACGATTCGATGTGTTTATCCTTCTACAAAATAACATATATAATGCACTGAATATAGAAAACTGTGTCTAATTGGAAACTCACGTGGTGAGCAGTCCGCTTAATAATATTTTATTTAATAAAGTTGCTTATATAATACAAATTTGGTATTTCTATATTCGTGGATTCATTAGTTCACAACAACAGCTTCACGTGCCATATTTCATTTTATTAGGGCGATTTCTTAGTAAAATGTATGTAGTTTTAAAGATAAATCACATAACGACCCTTAAAAACGAAATTGAACAAATTTGTTATCTAACTATTCATTGCTCCAGCACGTGCCATGTGACACGTGCCTTTTTATATCAATATTTTCAATTATAAAATGGCATTTTGACCCAGAAGACGTTCAGTTATGACTAGTATACACATTATACACAATATAGGTAATATAAACACAATATTGTTCATTAATGAACGATGATTCATTTGCAACCATGATATACATATAAATTCAATTTTTTACATATTACAGTCCATATTTTTTTCATAACTTTTATTATTATGTATGAGAACGGATATATAAATAAATAAATAAATATAAACTCTCTCTTACAAAGAGAGAACATATTCTTATTTTTACTAACTTATTCAAAATATTATATCTCCTCATATTAGCTGAAACCATTAACGGCTAAAATAATATCAGCCAAAAAAATGTTCGACTAAGATGTGGTTCCACCCATGTATTGTCCTGACACAATCGTTTAGGATTGCGTCCTTGATTAACCTAACCTAACTTGGGCCACTTATAACCCACCATCAAACTTTTTCATTACATGTCAACCTTACCCTCTAACCTCCCCTTCCCACCCCCCCGGAAAAATACCTATAGAGAAGAAATAAAAACTAATTCGAAATCATAGACATGAGATTGTATCTTATAAATTATGACACAGACTACAGACATGATGAGTATCTAGTGTTTTGTATAACATTTGTATAAAATATAAATATTATATTAGATATATGAATAGACATTAAAAATTTAAGAACTGTGATGGATCAGATATTMGTCAGATATATCATCAAATACCGAAATTAAATTTCGTTTTCCCGTTCAAATCTAAATTTGTAGGTAGGTAATTGCAAATTTGAAATAAAATCTCATTTATATTATGATACCCCAATTTATCGGAAATGGTTAATCCTAATGTATATAATTATATATTTATGTACTATATTACACTTCCCGTTATGTTATTCATAGTGAAAGATACAATAGCCATAAAAKACAATAGAATATATTATAATAAAACCCATTCCCGCCCCCGTCCAATTGACAACCGTGAATCAAAAATAATACATAATTACATGGAATGTTGGCCGATTTGTAGACTGTGGTTGTCGGGATAATGAATAGCAAAGCACCAACAAACTCACACCGGAAACAATACTTGCCACATAGGTGACCATGTTGAATTTTCCTTCAATTTGGACGATAGAGACGGATGAGCAGAAGCATACTGATACGACGACTGAAAAAAAAAAACACAAAAGCGTTTGATTATAGATACATATAACAATATTACCATACATAGACATATTTTATAAACGGAGAAAATAACTTTCCCCTATTACGTATATCCATTTTTAACTATATAATAATGAAGCCATGTGCACTATTACGTAAGTATAGACGTATAGTTATTATTATTCATTATTGAATCGATACATGAAAATTGAACAGTGACCAAAAAGCAGATTAGTATGATTATTTTAAACATACATAAGTCCTCTATGACCATCCCCAGCTAAGATTGTAAATAATTTAAATATAGCTTTTATAAGTAAATAAATATATATATATATATATATATTAATATATTATATTTAATAATAGTGATAGTGATAATAATAATAATAAATAATTATTATGTTTAAAAATCTGAGCATAAAGCTCAACTTAATATTATTATAGAGTTCACTAGATAACAAATTAAAAGTGCATTCAATAAAGTTTGGTTGTTTTTGTGTTAACCTCATACACATTTAGACTTTAGAAATTCCAACAATTAACGGCTTTAGAAGTCGGATTTAATGCACAATATTATTCTAATCTGTGAATTTTCYGGGATTTAATGATATGATTTATTGATATGTGATATTATAATTACCGATAAAACGCAGTGAAAAAAAAAATCTAATTTCAAACAAAGAAATACATGTAATCATATTTTGAAACATAATATTATGAATTTATGATGTCACTCAAAAATGAGAAATTGTCGCGAAGGAGACTGCCGTTTRGGCATTGCCTCTCATCGATTTACATGTGAGGTACACTAGTGCARATTTTATCTATGGGTGAATAAATATGACACACGCGATTAGTTTTAAGTCAAACTGTTTATACGTTAATTTGTGATGTTAATACCGGGAATTATTTGTCAAGAGGTCAGCTGTGTGATTTTGACGTAAAACACGTTGGTGTAAAAGCAATAAAATTTTTTAAACAATATTTTTCTGAACAGCTCATACATTGAAATAAACATGGTATCAATTTATGTGTATATTCTATTACTTTATTAACAATTGTCAATTATTATTTAAAACCAAATGCAGACTTAACAAATGTATTGGATATGAAGAGAAAAACACAAATCCTATTTAATAGTAATATATTGTAGAGGATACTAAATTAACAAATGCAAAATTGAAGCATCTCACTCAAAATTGATTCCCCATTTATATTCGAGATTAAAAACTTATCCTAAATGATTTCTAAATAAAAAGAACAGTTAAAGTAATTTATAAAATATACACCTAATTATAAAGTGTGCTTGAAAACGGTTAGGTTGATAATCAAATACTTAGCATGGTAATTTTGTCAAGGAACGATTTCGTGACCCTAAAATAAATGTAAACTCAAATCAACCAATTGATACTTACKGTAAACCAAAATAATTATGATGGAGGTACGACCAGTGTTTTTTGTTGTGATCTGCGACTTTGGAAGATTGAAACTAGATGATAATAGTCTCATAAGGGAAACTCGAAAACGACCGTTGTCTCTAATTTTACACTCTTCGGGATTATCGTTCGTGTACCGCAAAATCAGAACACAAATGCACACGAGTGAGTAAGCCATCAATGTACCAATCGACATCATGTTCATTAATTGTTGTAGATCGAAAAGACTGGACAAAATCGCTAAACATACAAAGTGTTTATCACTAATTTATTTCATATTACTATACTCGTAGAATGTTAATTATCTAATGAGATTATAAGTAGCGAAAGTGTACAGAAAAGATTGATTTTATACGAACGATATCAGATTTATTTATTCAAATGATGATATTGTTCAATTATTGTCTTTGCGGAGCTGATAAATTATATCTTAATAACATATCAACGTTTAAATTTAAAAACAAAAAAAGATTCAGCCTTATTTGTTGAAATGGAAATTCAGTTAAGTTAGTATCATGCAATCACACTTATAACATTAATAACATTAAAATAAACTAAGTTGGCCAATAATTAAGTCGATTTCATATGAAAAACTATAAAATCAAAATATTTGGATGATAGGTAAGTACCTACWTATGATAGACACTTAATAAAGAAACTATTTTTATTTTATATATATCTTTTTGCGTGTTATTGTGAAATATGTGTCGCATAATCACATATTGTGTATACATTATATATTTGTACTCGTACTTACCAGCAAAAGCTCCACATATGAATGTACCCCAAAATGGAGTTTTTGTMTTGGGATCAACTTTAGAAAAAATGTGAAACAATAACCCGTCGGATGCCATAGAGTATAATATTCTGGGTAACGGAAACAGTGTACCGATCATGCTAAAAACAAGATATTATTTATTTATATTACATTCAAAATGTCAATTGTATTGTTTGCCGTTTGGTATAGGTAGTATGTTTTACTTTTAAATGTTATATATATAGTATATTATATTAATATWATGGCACGTGGAATAATCGATATACGTATTCGCTATTCAGGTAGGTATTCAGAAAAAAAAGCGCCAGTCCACACTGATGAGTGGGTTTGTCATTTTTATTAGATGTATTTCATAGAAATTTCAACCACTCTAAATGATGACATGTGCACATGAATCAACGACCACCTGAGGTTTTTTGCAATCAGTACCACAGTCTCGTCTCCCACACACATGCTATGTTTAGTTCGAACAGTTTTAAGACCATGTTTTACATCGAAAATACGTGTACCTATATTCTTTACATGCATGTCGCATAATACAGCACAATATAATAATAATTTATCATATGATACCAGCGGGTTGTTTTGATAGATGTTWAGTTAGTTATGTACCTGGTCATATATTGTGATTATACATGGCGTATTGGTCATACTGTTACAACTTACAAATCATGTAGGCGAAAATTCAAAATGGCGAACAGTATAATATTATTACAATTACTTGTTAGAAAAAAAAATATTAGTATTGGCTAACATAAATAGCTTTAGTACATACTTTGTGCATAAAGCAAACACTGCTCCAATCGTAACGATCCATTCGAGAGCATGCCATCCCAACTGTTGGTATATATGTGGAAAAGGAGCTTCCGGGTCCTTGTATAAAATAAAAGTAAAACAAACATTGAAATGTTATAATAAATCAAGGTTAACATATCCAACGGTTAA